GGAAGACCTATGCCATCCAGCCTCAAGTGCCTTCCTCGCCTTGATCCCAGACGTCGCAACAACACTCGATAGAGCCCTAGGAAACATCATCAAATTCATATATACTTCACCCCCAAATTCCGAGAGTCCACGCCGACCCTCCTTCACACCCAGCATCCCGCCAACAAGATCCGTAACAGTCTTCCTTCGCGATTACAGCGGTGTAGCTTACACAACAGGCACAGAGCTCGACGATGCGCACAAGGAAATCCACGTCTCGCTCCCGTACATCCAGAGCTGTACATCCGGTCCATCTGCGAAAGATGACCCGCTCCACGAGCTGGTCGGAGTCTTGACCCACGAGCTCGTGCATTGTTATCAGCATACCGCGCCGCTTAACGAAAGCAGTAACGGGGACATCCCCCGTCCGCCGGGCGGACTAATTGAGGGTATAGCTGACTTTGTGCGGCTCAAGGCTGGTCTGGAGCCGCCGCACTGGAAACGTCCTCTGTCTGCTGCGGAACGGCCGCCGAAGTGGGACATGGGATATCAGCATACAGCGTATTTTCTGGCGTGGCTTGAGGATGTGAGGATTGGGAGGGGCGCTGTGGGGATGTTGAATGATCGGCTTTTGAGGGTTGGGTATGTTGGTGAAGGGGAGGGTGAGAATGTGGGCAAACATGGTATCGGGTTCTGGAAGGGTCTTTTCGGGGTTGGAGTTGGGGAGTTGTGGGAAGAGTATGGGCAGTATCTGGATGATCCTACAAAGGCGAATGTCGGGAGGAGTAGTGGAAACTGGGAGGATGAGATTCTTAACCCGGAGTGATGGGATAAAGAGAGATAAAGTCCAGATGAATAGGCATTGGTAGGTATCGGTAGGCCCATTTGGTGATCAACTAGAGATATAAACTAGCACAATTAAAAGCCAAGAGAGCTTCCATTAATATTGATTTTGTATGCATTCAATAGATAGCTGAGGGCAGTTCTATATTTGATTGTCAGGACCAAAACGAAGGCCATGACAGGCCTAGTTTTGCCCGATGTCTAACTGGAGAAGAGTAAAACAGAGGAGAAGAAAACAAAAAGGGAAATTTCGAAGAAAAAGACACCAGGTGAATCGAAGGGATTGGAATTCCCATAATGTACAGGATCCAGTCATGCAGGAGACAGGATAGATGACTCTTTTTACCGCCGGCCAGCTTCCCATGCGAAAGAATAGCACACCGGAAAAAGAAAAGCGAGATAACAAAAAAAAGGGACATGAAATAATATGTTACCGTGCCTTGAACCAAGGCATCCCATTGCACCAAATACCTTAAACAATGACCTCGCCCAGGTCAACGTGGACCGGCTTCCACGGTACGGCCGATGGCTCCTCCATCGCACTGGGAACGCGCACAGAAAGTGGGCTGTAAAGGTACCAACCCTTAAGCGCCGCAACAGCAGCACGCTCGCGGCCTTCCATCAGACTGGCGCCAGCGCCCTCCCCAAGCTTATCCTGGCCAGAGAAGATACCAACCACAAAGACGGGGTGTCTGCTCTTACGACCAGTCTCACTGATGACCTTGGCGACTGGACGTTCGAAGCTCTCGCGAGCGCACAACCGGGTCAAGTCACGGGCTGGTGCCTGGAAGTTGAACAATTCTGAGATATTGAGGTGTCGTGAAAGGAAGTGTTGCTCGAAGAATCGCTTGGCAGCGGCGCGGCCAGCGTGCAGGTAGATGGCGCCCATAACAGCTCGGACGAACTCGGCGCTCGCTTGCTCGGTGGTGACACCTGCCGCAGATTGCTTGATCCCCTTGAGTGGGTCACCGAATTCATCATCATAGAAAATCTTAGAAGTGACCGTTTTCCTCCAGTTCTTCTGTGCTTCATATGGGCGTGCTGTGGGGTGGGTCGGGCCCGAAGGAAGCTCGGTGCCAGGCTCAACCCTCTGGAACTGCAACAGACCGGGATCGACCTCACCACCGGGCAAGGCAGCCAAGTCAACACCCCATTCTCGTGCCATGGCGGCAAGAGTCTTAGGCCCAGCGTATGCATACATGGCGGCGAAGATCACGGTCAGGGGCAGGCGAGGGTAGGTGCAAATAAGGTGCTCGGTTGCGTAGTAGGAAAGGAGGTCGTGACCGAGAGTAGCCAGCGAGGCATTGTTGAAATTCGGGTTCGGATCTGCGGATGCATCGACTAGCGTCCGTGCAAGGGTCTCGATAGGTAATCTGGAGGGTAGGTAGAGTCGAGCGTGGAGAGCGGCAAGTTTTGCAGATTGTCGAGCCGCTTCGACTGGGGGAGAGGGATATTGAAGCTGCGAGTGGCGGGTGTGGGAGTCCTTTACAATCTGAGCCAATTGCTCATCCAAAGGTGCTGATTCCTCGAAAATCGCTGTTGTCTGATCATCACGGGTTTGGACCGGGAGAGCGGCCGATTGGTACCGTTGCCCGTAGATGTGTTGATGCAGACGGTTAACAGTCCGAGCCCGCGGCGAAAGGACTGAGCTGCTCCATCTTTGGAGTTGCAGTCTCTTCATTTGGGCGATTGTGGTATTCGGAGGACCGTAAAAAGATTATACAATGGACGGAAGGGAGAATCGCGACGCAATCAATTAGCATACCATCAACGAGAGAGAAGAGAAATTGTCGCGGCAGTCACGGGATGGCCAAGTCGTGTGAGGTTGCGCTAAACCGAATATGGCATTGGCGCCTTGGCATCAGACCTGCGACCGAGACGGCCCTTTCGGCTTCCACCTTCGAGAACTACCAGCCCTACGCTCGCTTTATATTTCTAACAAACCCTTCAATTGCATCTTCGTCACAATGGGTGGAGGTGGAAAGATCCCGTATGTGCCCGTGATTTTCCTAACCCCACCAGGAGCTAATGGATTTGGCAGGTACCCCAAGGAAGTCTGGTCCCCCTCTGGTGGTTGGTACGCCCAGCCAGCTAACTGGAGGGCCAACACTGCGATCATGGGTGCCTTTGTGATTGGTGTCGCTGCCGTCGCCTTCAGCATCAGCGCTGATCGTGAATATCGCGACAAGATGCCCGAGCCCGGCCGTTTCTTCCCCAGCCGATAGTCCGTTACCCGAACCCCATGTCACTCGGTATACCTTATGCTGACCTTTACGTTTCTTCATCTATAGCTGGAGCAGACAAATCCGCGAACACGAGGCGCAACAAACTGCCAAGAACGACTCATGAAGAAGGTCCAGCCTACTGGATGGCGATTGTAGGCGGATTCTCAGCAGGACGGAACCTTTTCTTTTTGTTTTTCTACTATTTGATCACTTGTGTGCTGTACGACAATAAAAGGGCGTTCCTCATTCGGCCATTGGTCAATTGACCAATAGATGTCTCTGAGGAGACTCTTCAAGTGTCCTCAATAATCGCTGCGTGTACAGGCGGACACGTTCCGTGAATTCAGTCTGATTCCACAATTCCTTTCCGTTTCCATCAACATCGATCTGCGGCACACCGATTTGCTCGACCACAAAGCCAGCGGCGACTGTTGCGCAAATAAGCGCCATAGGATAATGTTGGTAATTACCCCAAGACTCAAGAGCTTTGTTCCAAGTTTCGGAGTTTGATAGAACAGAGTCAATGGCTTGGAATGGCTCTCGGCCTTCAGTCACCATGCCCTGAGCTAGAGCACCAAGGAAAGAGTTTCCCGCACCTGTGGGGTCTATCACAGGCGTAGCACCTGAGGCATCAGGTTGATGATATGCGGGGAGCCAAATCTTGCCAGACTTTGAGTAGGCGTAGCTACCATCCTTTCCTGCCCTGATAACCAGCATGCCATTTCCATCGGGTCCAATGCCGGAGTCTGTAATCTTTTGGACTAGCTGCTGGCCTACTTGGCTCTTCTCGGTCCAACCGGGTTGTTCAAACATCATGCCGAGCTCCATATGGTTAGGACTCACCACATCCACAACTTTATTTGCGGCGAAGAACTTGTCCTGTTCTTCTGGGGTGCAGAGATCAGGTACTGGCTCCCAGACGAAGATAGGGCGCTTCGAAGCATGAGCGGCAGATGGCGCTTTCCCTGCCTTGTGCAATTCATTTCGTCGCTGCAAAATATGATGCACTATAGACATACAACGAGACGCAGAGCAGACCATATGGAATGTCTTAGACCACACCTGCGAATCGGACAACATTTCAGGCTCAAGTCTTAATTTCGGAGTCAGGTATTTGAAGTCTGCCAGGTCAGTCACCGCGTACGTTCAAGAGATATCACCGCAAACTTACCTCGTTTCTCGTCGGGATGATACCCATTCCAGGCTCTCGTGGTTAGCCTGCTAGGGTCCTCTCTAAAAACACAGTCTGTGTTCCATGATTTGATTACATCAAGCGTCTCGGCAGGGAAATCAGAGCCCACATCCACGATCCAGCTCACAGATCGTGCATACTTCGAGCCTGAAACCAAGCGGGCGCCCACGACTGCAAATGACGCTGCACCACCGAGGATATTCTTGACACCGGGTCTTGAGCCGCCGAAATCAATATCATCTGAATAACAACGCACCTGTGAGTCTACATCCCACTTTGAGGGACGAAGTAAACCATACCAATTATGAACATTCCCAAGGTACAAAACTCGACCTCAATAGGCTGAACTTGAGCCACCATATTTGCAGCTAAGGCTATGTATAGATACAACAAAGAAGATGGTTGTATAGAGAGACAAAGAGCAACCGAATCTTCAAGAGTTGGAGAGTTTCGACTATCGCATTACGGTGGATCGGATGGTAATATAATTACCAAATATACCCCGCAACGTCATTTTAACTTAGGGATCCCGCTGTAACGTACCATACCACGTCTAGAGCTGTCATCTACAGACCTCAGGAGCTCCGGGCTTTGTCTTCTTTCCACTCTCTATCATCCCGGGTGTTATTTTCGGAAACTCGAGAGCCTAAATCTTACTAAATAGCAGGGGATTTTGCTTTCGAAAATCCCTCGATTCCAACCTACTCAAATCGCCCCTTTTACCTTTCCCTTTCCACCGTTGGAGCAACGTGTTGCCTATCATGGCGTCCGGCGGCCATATGCATAATTTCACCACCCTCATCAAGCGGTATGTATTCATGATGCTAAAAGTGTCTTACCCATAGCATTTTGTCTTCGGTTCAATCCCCGTTAAGCCGTTTGACACCCACCTCCATTCGGCACACTCGACTGACATTGAGCTCATCTATAGGCTCGAGGCAGCGACCTCACGCTTGGAGGATATGGCGATGTCATACGATGACTCTAGTGCGCCAAAGTCCTTGACCGGATCTCCTTCTTCCGTATCCGCCATCCCACCACCCCCTAAGCCCTCCCCTCCTCCTCCGCCCCCAGCCCCTGTGGCCGCCCCGGTTCCGCCACAGATTCAGGACTTCGATGCGTTGATCGAGGGAGATGTTCAGAACTTTGTCAACCTGGGAGAGAAGATCGGCGGTCTTGTTGCTGAGCAAGTATGTTTTTGAGGAATTCTGGGAACTAGGTCTGCCGCGAGTGGTTGCTGATTGAATCTATAGTCCAAAGCCGTCCTTCGAGCCTTCCAAGCCGAACGCACTTATCTTTTCGTTGTGACGAAGGCCAAGAAGCCCGATACCCAGCCTCCGGAGCTAATGACGGACTTGCACAAGGCATCCGATAGCATTAACAACATTCGCGAATCAAACAGAGCATCGCCGCTATTCAACCACCTGAGCGCTGTTGCGGAGGGTATTGTTGCGCTCGCTTGGTTCTTTGAAAGCAAGCCCGCGGAGTTTGTCACGGACATGATTGGTGGCATTGAATACTATGGTAACAAAGTGCTGAAGGAGTACAAGGACAAGTGAGCACTCCTGTTAATGACGTTTTGAAGGGATCCTCATGTTGACAATTTGACAGGGACAAAGCACATGTCGAATACATCAAAGCCTACTATCAAAACTTCAAGGCCCTTGCGGTGTACCTCAAGAAACACTTCCCCCAGGGTCTAACATGGAACAATGAGTCTGGCATTGATGCCTTGGAGGCTTTGAAACGGGCCAAGGCCGGACCTGCTCGCTGCGCCCCTCCTTCTCCTCCCCCTCCTCCGGCTGTCCCAGCCCTCAATGTCCCCGGTGGCGGTGCTCCTCCTCCACCTCCTCCGCCTCCACCTCCTGGTATTCCCCCCGCTCCTGCTCCCGCAGCACCAGCTGCAGACATGGGCGCTGTCTTCGACCAGCTCAACCAGGGCGAGGGTATCACCTCCAGTCTCCGCAAGGTCGACAAGTCGCAGATGACACACAAGAACCCCAACCTGCGTGCTGGATCAATTGTCCCTGAATCCGAAGGATCCAGCGCCCTACGGGGCAAGTCGCCAGCACCTAGCAAAAAGCCCAAGCCCGAAAACATGCGCGCGCGCAAGCCGCCCCGCAAGGAACTCGAGGGCAGCAAGTGGCTCATCGAGAACTTCGATGCCCCTGGCGAGATCATCGAGATCCCCGCGCAGCAGAACCAGTCCATCCTGATTACCCGCTGCAACAAAACCATCATCAAGGTCTCCAACAAGGCAAACGCCATTGCAATCGACAACTGTGTTGGTCTCTCCCTCATCGTCGACTCTCTTGTCAGCAGTCTCGACATCATCAAGTGCCCCAAGTTCGCTGTGCAGATCGACGGCACGGTCCCGACTCTGCTGATGGATCAGGTTGATGGTGCTACTGTTTACCTTGGCCCGCAGAGCCTCAACACTGAGATCTTCACTAGCAAATCCTCCGCTATCAATATCAACCTTCCGCCGCCGGAGGGCACCGATGAAGATACCAAGGAGTGCCCTCTGCCCGAGCAGTTCAAGAGCTACATCAAGAACGGTGTGCTGGTGAGCGAGATCGTGGAGCATGCTGGTTAAGCTGGGCTCATTGGTTCAAGAGGAATAGGAACTTATTTTCGTGGACTCGAAGGGATTGTAATACATCATATCATATTGGCCGGGTCGAGATCATATAGTCTTCTTCTTCCTTGGGTGCTTAACCCTTGTTATTTTGGATAATTTAGTTGCTGTATCTAGCGCTTTGTGGATATAAATTGCAGGAACTTAAACTCGTCTATTTCAATGCATTTCATAGACTTTACCTTCTTGGGTCTTTCTATTGATCAAATTTTTCTAATGTGATAACTTTTAAATATATATCCGCTGTTCATCTACGGAGTACGTGGTTGGCAGACACGAAAGTCAGAATCGTGCAGCAACACAGTTCACGTCGCGATATATATTTAACCGATTCCAAAATGCATCATGTTAACCTAACTAACAGATAGACTTAGTGTAGACGGCAAAATCACAAGGATAGAGAAGAATATACCAAAAACAAATATAGGAAGGGGGTATAGTCAGCGCCTGGGCTCCCCTAATATATCCGTAAAGCACAGGTAATGAAAGCAGATCGACTGGACTCCCAAGTAAAGAAAATGAATACACATATCGCTTGGACATGAATCAGGATGAAAAAAAAAATACTCGGTGCTATTATGTTGGTTAGTATAAACAGGGGATCGGCCGCAAACCAGTTGCGCCTATTCTCATGTTGTTCTATGCTGTTCTTTGAGGATGGTGTAAAAAGGAAATGAGGTTATATGTCAAGTCAGGACCAAGATAAATGTGGGAGGTAGGTGGTGTAATTGTTATACTGAATCGCGAGGTAGAGGTTCTTGGAGTATGTTGCGCTCGCTGGGTTCGTTCAGCGAGGACGGTGGTTGTGGGTGGGAGATGGTCGATCATAAAAGCCTAATTTGCGCGGATGCCGTTCATCTACTGTGGACTCCGGCCTGTGCACATCAAGGACTCGGAGTCTTTTGACGAGTAGACTCTCGCTGGCTTCTGAACCGCTTGGATGACGTCCGTAATCCTCGTTGTCCCTGGTGAGCTCGTTGTAACGAGACAATCTATGCGAGGGAGGAGTATTTTCAAGGCCACCCGTAACATTCGTCGGTCCTAGGACATCTTGCGAGGGGAACTCGCTGGGGGATGACACGTGTGGGTGGAGATGAGGGATAACTCCCTGGCCCACACTCCGTCTGTGGGAAGTTTGGTCAATTCCCAAGCGCATATTTGCGCCTGTAGTACTCGAGATGGAAGACTCTCGGGAAGGCTTGTATGGGCTGTACCGAGGCTCGGGATTTTGAATCTCATTCAGTAGTTTCTCCTTGCCGTCCGGGACGCGGTTTGCAAAAACCACGCGAATGGTCGAATGTAGGTAAAAGCGACCGCGCGCGGGACAGCAGATGTTCAGATGAATGAGGTATCGCAACGTAGGTTTGTCTTGAGGGTCTTCTGTGGGATTCAAGGAAGCTTCAGGGCGATCGGTCCCAAAATTCTTTCGTGCACTGAGCGGCATATCAATGATCGGACCTGCCGAATAGCTGCGTTGCCGAATGAAGGTCTTTGTGCCAGGCTCCATATCGCCGAGGTCGTATGGAACAAGGAAAAGCTTTACCGCTGTCTTGTGCGGGTTCTTAATTATGATTTGTAGTTGACCTTGTTGCGGAATCCGGTAAGACCCTCCTGGGGGGCATTTAGGCGATTCTGATCTGCGATTCTTCTTTTCCCGGCGGCGTCGTGATTCAGCAGCACTCGTACGAGTATCGTTTGCTGCATCTGTGGCGGGGGTGTCCTCACGGGGTCCTATCGGACTTAGATGTCGCCTGCGACGTCGAGTCGGATTGGGATTCTCTTTTGGGAGGGAATTTTCCAAGTCAATTTGTCCCACATAGGGGCTTGGATTGTCATCTGAGATTGAGCGGCCACACCCCGAGGTCGGATAGCTGTAGAACACAACCGGAAATGGCACTGTGACATGTGGGGGGCATTTGAGATGGCTTTTGCATTTTCCCTTGCCTAGCACACCGATCTGAGCCGTAAAATCCAGCGGTTTGGAAGGGTTCATTGACATTCTCCCACGCAAGATTGACTCCTCATAAGACCCCACCATCGGTGCGTGGGGGTTTGATGACAGATCGGAGACAAAAGACGGCCTTCTGACTCGCGATGGTGGGATCTGCCCCCCGGGGGACGGTGCGAGCTGAAGACTATACGTCGAGGTCAATGACCGGCGAGGCAAAGACGTTTGGTTGGTAAAGACATCCTGCTGCCGTCCGGGTGGAGATGGACTGCCAAGGTTGGGAATGGGGTTGCTTGGCAGGGAGAATTGGAGATTCCTAAAGGTCTCCGGTGGCAAAGTACGGCGACGGTTTGTTCTCTCCATAGGCTCGGAAACGTCCGCATGGTCAACACGGGACGAAAAGTCCAAATCGGTGTTATTTGCTTGGTATACCAGAGGACTGGTAGGGGCTTTTAAAACATAACTTGATGAGAATGAGCCCACTGACGGTGCACGAGCTCGAGCATTCACAATATCATCGGACTGACGGTATTCATTCGATATACTTGTCTTTCGCAAATCGGGTGGCAAGTTTGGTGCTCCGAACCAGGGAGTAGTGGGAGAGGAGCTTAAATGACCAAAGGGGGAAGCCGAACTTGGCCCAGTAAAAGGAGATCCAGGAGCGTGTGAGTCATGGGGATCTGTGGCGCCTTCCCTGAAATCACCCGAGTGTAATGCGGATCGAGGTCTCTGGATATCGGCCGGCGATCCCAGTTCCTCTGTCGCATTAATGTGATGTTCTTGGTTAATAGAGTTATTTTCTTGTTCTCTTGCTGCTGTTGGTGACTGCTCCGGTGAAATTTGGGAGCTAAATAAATCGTTGTTGTGCCTATCCGGGGACTATAGTATGTTAGTCTATGTATGTTTGAGAAATGGGTTGAACAAAGAAAGAAAAGAGAAAGACAAAGAGAAAGAACGGAAACAAACAAAACAGAATTTCTCTGCTTGCATATCCACGAATATATTCACATACCATATGTTGTAATCTCCAAGGCGAAGATTCTTTGATACGTTGTATGAGCTCCTCCCGGTCATTTGCCCACGACTTGGGCGGACTCAACGTCGTGGAATGCATAGAGTTGGTTTGCATTTCTGGAGCATCTATCTCACGGCGATTGAGATCATTTAGCTGGGGCTGTGAGGACCCTGTGGTCGGCTGTTCACGATTGCCATGGTCGGGTGACCATAGATAATGACGCCTCCGATCCGGATCTCGAAATAGGGGCATGGTGGCGTGATAAGGGCAGACTATAAGGCCTGAAACGCTAAAGGTGACATTTCAGGAGACCACCCACGTAGCACCTTTTGAAACCAGCGCCGAGCTGTGCCGTGGTGGGGGTCCAAGTTGGATGCGGTGTACCAGGATGATTCGGGTATATGCCGTCCAGTGATTTTACTGATTGGCGAAGAGAGATAGTGGTTATATAGAACAGAGTACTTTGTATGTCACGCCCTGGGCCTGGATTTTGCTGTTTCCTGCCGTCTTAAAGTATGAATGCCCAGTTTGTGCCCCAAAAGGTTGAATAGGGGAAAGCTAGTATTGAGTAGGTCGTGTGCATTGTGTCGTTGAATGGGTGGACACCCGTCAATCTCGGAGATCCGGACTGAGAACGTCATGTGATGGACCTGTGACGTTGTGTTGCAGTGATGGGGTAACCTTTCAGAGCTATGTTGTATATTGAATGTTGTACATTTGCATTCTTTGGGTCTCAATAATGGTATTAAGGCCCGATGCCTGAAAATTGTGAAAGATATTGGGAAGAAATAGAGAGTAAAAAATGGCACACATGTTATAGTGTGCAGATCAGCTAGAATGACCATGTAATCAGTGATAATATCGCATATATTATAGACACTGTAAATGGTTATTACCTATGATTTTTTTCTTTCAGAACCAATATCAAGAGAGAAAAACCATTGTATATTGTTCAATAGTTCATACTTAGCTGCGAGTGGCCGAGACCGATTGTTCCGTGCGGAGATCGCCACTTTTTTTTTTTTCTTCTCCGAAAGTCTTCTGATTTCAACAACGCCTGGACAAAACACATTTGTTTTGTTTGAATATCAACATGGCACCAAAACGTACCCACGACGGCGATGCTGCCCTGGCATCTAAGGGCGAGCCCGTAATCAAGAAGCGCAAGGGTTTTAGCGTTGGACCCGCCAACCTCCCAGATGGCACATATCGTCGCAAGAGTGAGCATGCCTGAAAGCCACGCCTTGAATGAGACTAACAAATAATTAACAACAGCCCAAAAGATCAAAAATGACTTGATTCACAAAGCCAAAGTGAAGAAGGCCTATGCCAAAATCAAAGCCGAAGAACTCGCCATCGCGCCTAAGAAATCCGTGTACGATACCGCCGAGGGGGATGAAGTCGAAACTGGCAAGGACAAGGAAGCGGCTGTTGAAGACACAACGACTCTGGAACTTCACCCAGATCGCATAGCCATGTTGAACGAGCCCGAGGCCGAGCCGGAACCTGCACCTAGGCCAGAACGGCGCCCACGAGGCGAGGGTAAGCAGAGGGAGCGCCGGCCAAAGCCCTCTGCGTTCTCAAGGGAAATGGAGTTTGCAGAGAAGCGGAGAAAAGCGGAGGAAGCACGACAGAAGGATCGAGAGGCGAAACAAAAGGAACGTGAGGCACTGCTGCGCGCAAAGCGGCCGGATCAATTTGGAAAGAGAAGATTAGGTAGAGAGAGCAACGCGCTGCTTAGTCGCGTGCAGCGGATGGTTGGTCAGAACTAGAGAGAAAAAGGCAAGAACTACACATGGTGTGGACTACGTTTTCATGATACCCGGTTGGATATGAAAAAGAAATTTCAAAGCATTCAATACATGATTCTTTAATAGCACTGTCTTGCTAAACCTATGCCGCGGCCGTATTGGAAGGCTTAGAGTTCCCTCCGCCACTTCTCGGCTTTTTGAAACAAGCAAACTCGCCCTTCGTCCGATCTCTGAGCCGTTTCAGGATAACTCGCATTTCTCCTAGTTCGGCCTTCAGTTTTGTGCGAGCTTCGTTTGTGGTGCGACAATCTAGCTCCACGTAAATCTGGCTTTGCACATTTGATGCCTCCTCAGTTATGTACGCGGAAAGAGTCTGTGCAATGAACTCGGTGTCCAAGGTAGCTTGCATCAAAGCTGCGAGCGAGAAGGAGGACCGAGTACGGAATGCATCAAGCAGTGACGAGGAAATCTGAGAAAGGAGATGTGTCAAGACAGTGGCCAGCAACGAGGAAGGTGAACTTGACGCAGCGCGACTAGCACCTGGTGACACAGTAGATGGAATCGTTGTAGAGATCTCTGTGTGGACAAGCACCATGGTCAACATGGCGTTGTAAACATATGGGCGGACTTGCTCTGGCCTGTCAACAGACGGCTCCCAATCTGGAGATGCAATGCCAGTGGTGATTGTTTTGTTTAACAAGGCTGTAGTCGGGGTAATGTATGACTGGAATAGCCTGTCTTCAATCTGGCTTAGCACGTCCCGGACAGTCTTGGCCTCTTCCGTTAGCTTCACTGAGAAGGATGTCTCAAAGTTTGAGATAAGCTGTGGGACATGATCGGCCTGTAGAGCCTTGAGATTTGAGAGTGTGAGAAGGATTCGAACATTCTGTCCTCTGGTTAGCTAGGAGGGATCACATTGAATTGGACTGACACTTACCCGATTCCAAGAATCGACCGAATCAGCCGAGAGAACTGACAAAGCAGCGTCAGTTGCTTGGCTTGTCATTGCTGGTCGAGCAATAATCCATTCATTTTCTTCATCTACTGTTGTCAGGCGCTCTGCGTTTTCGACCAGGCCGCTTAACGCCTTGTAAACACTCGACACGAACTGAGAGCGGACCATTTGAAGCAGTTTCGCAGGCGGCTGAGTGACAACATCTACGGAACCTGGCTTTGCCATAGCTTCCGAAATGTAAAGGATCTTTTGCATGCCCCCAAGGATAGCACTCTCAAAGGCAACAAAGAACCCGGGCATCTTAGTCAAATCACGCTTCTCTGAATCGCGTGTCCAGTCTTCCAACATTTTGCAGATCTCCGCATCTTTACTCCAGGCAGCACATGCCACACGTGCACAACGTTCCCTGGCAATGCTGACAAGGGTCTTGAGGAGGTCATAGGTTTTTCCAGAGCCACCAATCGGCCTTAGGGCTGCCATTTCGCTCGCAGCGGTGCCCACGGTGATGAGGAATTTACTCAGATAGTGCACACCACTGAGAGAATTGGAAAATGGTGGCCAGAATGCGAAGTCCTCCCAATGCTCTCCAAGCTTTGGGGGAGGGTATGGTAGGTTCTTCGGATCCAGCTTGAATCGGGACTCTGTTGGAGTAATACCCCTTGACTCTGGGGTTGATGGACTTGCCGGAATTGGCGAGAAGAGTAGGGAGATATCTTCGGTTGGAGGTTCTGTGAAGAGTGCCACGACATTCTCTCGAATGATATTGACTAAAACCGCAATACCCTTCTCTAACTCCTGAATATTGTCGTCGGAAAGAAGGTGATGTTTGCGACTCTCCCCTTCAAACCCGGCAGGCAAAAGCCGCTGTCGATTGCCATCAATGAATGATTGTGCAACTTCCCAGAAATCCAACACCTCACCCAGCAAGCCACTTTGTGAGGACAGAAGTCGCGTTAGGAACGTTTGTACACATTCCCACAACTCAATGACTTGATCCGTGTCTAGTCTCCCTGGAATTTCTACCGCACCATCACGAGGTGCTAGGCGGAGATAGGATGCGGTAGCTTGTGGAGTTGGTCTCTCCCCACCAGCAAGTCTTCGTCTTAAAATTTCAATTTCGACCTTGCATCGATCACAGAATCCGGTGATCTTTGTCTTCAAGAATTCATAACGGCTCTGAAGCCATGTCCAGATAGGGTTGTCTTCGACACCCAGTTCTAACAAGGCCCCGATCAACTCCATGTGTTCTTCCACAGGCCCCAAGGCGGTGCTTGTAGTTGATGTGGTGGGGGCGTCGGCAAGACGTCTCCAAAGATCACGCTTAAAGTCGTGGATTTGTTGGTCAACGTCCACCCACATCCGGCCCATGGCTAGAATGGTGTGTGTCTCAGAGTCGTTAAGTTGTCGGCGGGAACTGGATGTCTGCTCGGCGATATTTTTGGCCCGATTGGCGAGTGTTCTTGCTTTGGTATACTGCTCAAAGACAGCATCGTAATCGCGTTGCTGGATGGACTTGGACAAGGTGCTTCCAATTTCATAGACCTCGCGATGTTTCTCCATAGTTTCCACCACCGACTTTAGTACCTTCTCTCGTTCCCGACCCCCAAGAGCTGGTCCCCACACCTCTTCGGCCTTGACAGAAGCCTCAACCAAAGGCCCTCTAATACCCTTCATGCCAAACTCACTCTCCTTGACGAGGGCGGTCTTCTTGGCAACCACCGGGGCGGGGGATATGCTCCGTTGCTGACCTGAATAGCTCCGGAAATGTCCCGACCTGCGGGGACTCAGACTCGGTTGCTTCTCAACGCCCTGGTTTCTCATCTCGGTGTAGACGCTATCGATAGTTGCCTTGGCACGTACGAAACGCTCAAAGTTGGCTTCTACCAGTACTTTCAGCGACGCCGACTTTTGGTCGATGGAATGCGACAGATTATCCAGGCCGCCCATCAGCGATTCAATGGAGGCTGAGTGATGTGCCTGTGATAGGAATAGTGCGGGCGAGAATGATGTCGATGATAGCAGGTACTGTGATTTGCCATCTTTCTCCAGGGGGACTCCTCGCTGCTTCAGAATCCGAAGCACGCTGTCGCTTGTACCCAGGGGATCGGGCTCGTCTTCCCGCGCATTATCTCTGCCCTCCTTCCCTCTTCGTGAACCAAAGTTGCTTCTCCAATCACTGGTACTGCGCTCGAGAGCTATGTATCGGGACTTTCGTGGACGGGAGTCTGTTCGCTGAACTTGCTGTTCCTCTGGCTCATCGGCCACGTCTAAAGATGCCGGCCATTCCTCGGGGAACTCGGAGGGTAGGTTGTAGTGGCTTGCGACGTCGAGGTCTGCCATGATTGCCAGGTGGAGCGCAGTAGCTAGGGCGAATTGAAATACAAAAGAGAACCAAGGTGGCCTTTCTGCAGGTGACCGAGATCTGATAGCAGAACCCTAATCAAATGCTGACACCCTATAGCTGGTAGTCAAGAGTGGACACCAGGTAAAAGAGTGGACTCGGGCCGGGGGGGAAATGAAACCACCAATGCGGTCTGAGGACCGGT